TTATTTTTTCTCTGTGATTTTGACATGTGAATTTCTTTTGTAGTTTCTGACTCTTTTGTGATATTCGGGCTTTCAAGTTTAGTTCTACTTCTTTTTTGGAACTTTATGTGTCTTTGTGGTTTACTTTTTGGGTATGAAGAGCTGGTTCGTCTAAGCTTCTGGTTCTCTCTTTTGATTTTATATTGTCGTGGCCGGATTGATTTTGTTTTCAGGAGTTCCGCGGTGGCCCAATTCCAATGTGGGTCAGAAGTTTTCAGACTTTCTCCTTAGGTCTGGAATCTTCTAAGAATGATTTTGGCCTCAGGAACTTGGGTGTTGGACTGACCTGAGACCCTGGCAGTGGCTGTGCCATGCAGGGAAGCACAGGCAGATGGGGTGGGAAGAAGCCCCAAGATTTCCCAGGGAGTGGATTGAGTAGCTGGGTTGTACTGGATGCAAAGGATCAGGGGGGGGGAAGGTAAGCCTCGGAACCCCAGAAAGAGGCTGTCAGCCCCAGAAAGAGGCTGGTAGGTGTTGCCGGACCAGGGAAGTAGAGGGAGGTGAGGTCGGGGCCAGGTCCAGAAGCGGTGCCCCTGGGGCCCAAGAAAGGCACTCAGTTGGTCTGGGTGAGAAGGGTCAGGAAGCAGTATTGGTTCCCCAGGTGTCTGGGGCCCCAAGACTAGGAATGGTGCAGGTCCCAAACTGGGAGTAGCGAACAGCGGGAGAGATGGAAGGGTGAATGTGGTTTGGGGAGTCAAGGCGTGGAGGGCAGCGCTATAGACTTACCCCAAGAGGCTTGAGGATAGGAGTCAAAACCTTATATTTTTATATTGCCCATGAATCCTTCCGACTGTGCCCTGGAAAGGCATCATGGTCAGCCTTCCAGCCAACTTCTGCTCACCATCTCTCCTGACTCAGAAGGATGGGTCTCCAGATTCATTTCCAGTTTATGGGGCCTGAAGTTGTCAGCTGTATTGCAGGCGGTACAGCAACATTAGGGACAGATGTGAGATGAGTGTGTCCTTCTATATGGATTTGACTTCTGGGGCAGAATTTTGCTTTTTTTCTAATTTTTTCCCCTTTTCCTGCTGTGGAGGACTCTCTCATCCTACCTGTGGGCACATAGAACCCTTCTCCTAGCTAGATGGCTCTGCTCAGGATCTGCATAGAAGCCATTGTACTGCAGGGGTTTTAGGCTTGTGGGCCCTCATCATAGCCTCTTGTATGCAGATGGTCAGGTTTAGGAAGGAGGAGTGTGTAGCTATGACAGTCTTCTGGTTCCTGAATTTACACAGATCTTGCTGTTTTTCTAGAGTGTCATTTGGACTTGAGTTAGAGGTGAGTTTGTGTTACTTGACTTTGTGTGGAGGGCTGAGGAGATGGGAAGGTAGAGCAAGTTGCTTGACAGTATCTCTTTATTGTAACAGTTCTTATTGAAATAATCCTAACAACCCAATGGAGACTAGCATCAGGTCAACTACCCAAAAGAAACCTCCACTTGTTCCAGCTGAATGACACTAGAATATTTATGACCTACCTGCTTCACCCTCTCTGATTTTTGAACTGGTGGTGGTACTGACTCTTAGTGGTTCATATAACTCCAGGGAGGATTTGTGATATCATCTCTAACATGGTGCGAACCTGACATTTGATCCTCTGAGCACTTCAGCTTCTATTCTGCTAAAATCCTTTCATCCTAGTTCTCCATCACAGAATCATGTAGCAAGATCAGCTCTCTGAGGTGTGGGGAAGAGGGAGAGTGAGGTAGACCATGGAGTGGGTTTTTCAGTGAGCAGAGAGGGTGGTCCTGTAGTGTGTGTGAGGGCAGCATCTCTGGCCTAAGTCCAGGACCAGGACTGCTGTGACATGGAGAGTGCACTTGTGTTCCTAGAGGCAGCAGCTTCAATTATGCGATCAGAGAAGATCAACCTCTATGTTGTGCATCTGTATTCATAGGCCAAAATGTGTATCTGTGTTAATGTCTATATGTGCATGTATGCTTATATCTGTACGTATTTATTTATCTAGATATACTAGATGTCTTTTGTGCATTTATCCATATATAAATTGCCTAAATCTAGGTATGGATAGATATCTTAGAGATAGACCTTATATACAAATGTATATCGTGATACACACATTGACCCTCAGTATCCATAGATTCCATATCTATGTATTCAACCAACCAAGACTGAAGATATTGAACAAAAGCATCTGTAATTATTGGTCCCTAAAGAAGCAGCTATTTACATACTATTCTCATTGTATTAAGTTTCACAGACATTTAAAGATGATATGATGTATAAGGAAAGCTATATGTAGTTCTATAGAAGGGGTTTGAGCATCTTAGGATTTTGTTACCTTTTCAGCCCTGGACCCAATTGTCCATGAATACCATGCGGCTTCTGTAAATAGATGGACAGATATGCTCGTGGGACCCTTCTTGAGAGGATCCCTTGTAGTCCTCTCTTTGACCACATTGTGGTGCTGGGATTCACATAGGGAACCTGGCTATCAGTGCAGGCTGACCTCGATCCATCTACTCGGGTTCCCAGCCCAGGACCCACCCAGCTGCAGCCCATGGAGCACAGTACTCTTAGACTCAGCACCATGATTGCTCTGTGACTCTAAGAGTGGCAAAGGCTCTGCAGGGCCAGTGCACCTTCTGTGCTTCTGATTGACTGGGCAGGTGTGCCCAAGGGTTGTCCCATGAGAAGAGTCAACCACTGCATTCCAAGGTCTTGGGATTCCATATATATATTATATTTTATTATTATTATTTTTTTTATTAATATTATATATTTTTATTTTTTTATTTTTGAGAAGAAGCATTTCATTACAGCTTTAACATACTCAATAACGGATTCCTTTTGCAGGAACCATGGTATTTCAAGAACATATTAAGCATGTTAAGAACATGTGGAGTTAGTTCTGTTGTTTCTGTCATGCTTGATAACCATACCCTCAAATGGCCTGTCAAGCTTCCATGCAACATCACCGTGAGCTCTGCTTACAGGAAGAACAGTGGGGCTGAATGCTGGGCACACACAGACCCTGGGGAAAGTCGTGTGTCTTGAAGAACATGTCCTTGGGTCTTATTTATTGTCTTCACAAAGGTCTTGCTGACATCTCACCGAACACTGGGATAGGAATGCAAGCAGCTGGGTACTTTCCTGGAGCAGTGAAAATTTATTTAGTTTTGTGTTTTATGAAAAAGGCTGGACTGCATTTTCTATTTATAGTGCTTATTTTTCTCAAAGATTTTGAATGGTATTTACCTTGTCATCCTCTCTCAAGTTTAAGATGTTATATTTTTCATTATAAAAAAATATATGTAGTGAATCAGGTCATGTAGGACTGTGGACACATTTCAAGAAGCAGAAGACTGTACTGAAAAAATGAGTTGTGCTTTTTCTCTTTCACAGCACAGGATATCAGACAGGCGTCTGCTTGTCAAATGCCTGATAGTGCTGGGGTTTGTCATCTTCATGTTCTTCCTCAACTCTTTTGTCCCTGGCATTCATCTTGATCTTGGTGAGTCCAATGTTTTGTTAGCTTTTGTTGCTAAGCTTTGTGTTTGATGTCGCAGTCTGGTTGGGAAGGCTTCAAAGTACATTCCCAGACACTAACCGCATCTCAAGCAGCCATGCTGAGACAGAGGTGGGCAGCCTTCAGTGGAAGGAAGGAATACTTTCTGCATGACTTCCCTCTTTGTTTGCGGGGAGGCGGGAGAAAGGGAGAGAGAGGAAAGAAAGGGAGAGAATGAGCGAGCTATCTCTCTCCAGCCTCCCTAGGGCTCAGTGTTGGAAGGGATATAAAGTCAGTTTTATCACTTCTGTTGTATTTGATAACCATGTCTCAAAAAGATTCCTAGAAGAGACTGAAAGTCACATCAGCAAAGCTAGCTTTGCCTTCCACACAGGTCGACGTTACTAGCAAATGAGATACTGTGCCAGGACTAGGGATTGGAAGAACACTGCCCAGACTCAGTCTCCTTGTCCAGCTACAAATAGTTTCCCCATGCAGCAAGCCCCATCTCTCATTTTGGTCCTCCCTCGTTTTCCAAAGGTTCTCCTCAGTTTTCAGCTACTGTCCTTCCTCTAGGTCCCTGTCAAGATCTGACCTGTTGCTAGGGGAGACATGGCTCTCTCAGGTTGAGCTCCTCTTGCTAACTCCCAGCACCTGTCCTCTTCATAAACATCCTAAACTTGTAGGATTTTTCTTATTGATTTCATAGTAATCTCTATAGATGTTAGTACTTGAGACAAAATTTTAAAATCCTTTTGTAAAACCCACTTCAAATGAAAGTATAGGGCTATGAGAAAGAGAAATCTGATGTGGTCTTGAGGCGTCTTTTTAAATCAAAGCTTTCCCCAAGGTTTTCTTTTTTAACATGTGCTCTGTTAAGATAATTAAAGTATCTTATTTTAATCTTAAATTTTATAAAACTTTGGTTTATTGCAACATTTGAGGAAAGTGATTGCTGTCAGGAGCAAAGCCTGCTGACGTTGCAATAGATGGGCAGTGTGGCTGTGGTATTCCCGTTACGTACTATTTCCTGGGTTTCTGGATACGTTAGATATCTGTGGGCAGTAAGTGTCCCCTTTCTGTCTACTATTTCTAGATTGTCATGTGTAGCACATAACCTACAGACATTTGGCTAGGGTCCAGTTTCATAGCATATCTTCAGGGTCTCTCAGTTGATTTCCCCAAACTCAAATCCAACTTGCCAGGTGGCCTGGGCTTGTTCTGAGCTAGCAGGTGTTCTTCCTCAGCATCTGAGAGCTGATCCTCGAGGATGAAGTCCTGAAGAAGGATGAAGCCAGTGCTTACCAATGCCATGAAGCTCAGCTGGTTGGATGGATTACTTCTCAAAATTGTTGCAGTGTAATTATTTTAATTATACCCAGGCATACTATAATTTTAACATTACAAACTTTTAATCACTATGAGAATGTTAAGTGGTCACCATTGGTGATTAAACACAGCAAAACTGAAGTGTACGAGCAGAAAGCTTCTGCTAGAGAATTCTTTTGCATTTTATTTGAGGTTGTGCTTGAAAAGAGTATACTGGAGATTGGAAAAATGAACAACACATTGTTGTTAACATTTGGCAATCATTTATGTATACAGAACAACAATTTTAAAATTTAGGGTCACAATTTATACATAATTTTAAAGAATCTTGGTTACTGTAGGGGAAGGCCAGCCTTTGTACAAAGGTGCTTCATTTGTGTGTGTGTGTGTGTGTGTGTCTGATGTGTGTGGGCATATGTGCCATGGCACATGTCT